GTTAAAGAATTGGAAAGACTGCAGTAGATGAGCTAACCAGACCCACTGCTCTTTGCCCAACAAAGAATGACACCATACAAGACAGCCTGCAGTTAGCAATTAAAGCGCATTTGGGGACAAGGATTTGATAGAAAAACGTGGAGACTCAAGGCTTGAAACCCAAGTTGGGTTCCTGAAACTGCATCCGACCTCTCCAGCTGTTTAGGTGTCCGTCAACCTCACCAGGAAGGGCCCTTCAACCTATAACCCAAATGACTAGCCTCTGCTTTCAATTTAGTAAACCAGTCTGGGCTCCTGATGTTGCAGAGGTGAAGAATCAGGACTTGTTCCTGGCTTGGCTGGAACCACACCCACCAAGTGTTTGGGAAAGGAAACACGGCAAAGGTACAAACAACACAGGGCTAGATCCGGGCAGCGCTAACTAGCCTTCAAATCCAGATCTGAGCCAGGGCAGAGGCTTTTCTTTCTTCGGTTCTGCATTCTTGGGCTAGAATGATGATCACACCAGCATTTCTACCGTGCAGGGGAGGGGTTCAGAGTTAGGCAGAACTGGGAGTTTAAGAAGGGGCTGCATAAAAATGGATGCTACAGTTCCCCAGCTCCCCCACATTAAATATGTTCTATGATACACAGACACTGACAGAAATGTTGAAGGTCCAAGGTCTTAAACATGATCTGGGCTGTTCTCACCGACTCACAAGGTCTTCTTCTGACTTACAAGGCTGAGTCAGGAACTCACTACAGAAGCCTTCATCTGGAAGGATGCCTGGCACAGTGGTCTCCCTTTTGAAAAACGATTGGTGTCTCCTTCTATCAGCTCAGAAGTCTCCAGTCTGCCCATGGTTCTGTCTGTTTCTGTGCCTTCAGCACAATGCATCACTTAGCAATGACATCAATATCTGGGGAACCTGACCAAAGCCACAGAACATTCAGCTCTGAACACTTGTCTTCTCGTCTTAGCCTAGGGAATATGTTCCCATTTATTTACTTACAAGTTAAAAATCTCTTATGAGTCTATTGAACACGGTAGGCTCTGCACTGGATTATGAAACTGGACTCAGCAAGAGAGGACAAGCGAGCCTCCAGTTTAATACCCACAAACACAAAAGTAAGTTTATAGGTGACCTTCAATGCCCCACCCCGGGACTCACAGCGAGGGAGTAGCCTTTCTATGCAAGGCTGAGCTGGCTGCAGTTTCTAATACCAGCACTTCCTGATTCTTCTGTGTCTGGATCCATCAATTCTTCCACAGGTAACTTTTCTACTGAATTATAAATATTAGATTCCTGTGCAACTTCCAACATCTTTGAACCTCCTATTTATCTCCAGAACGTCCCTGCCTCCTTCGCAGTGGGAGGCGCATCTCAGGAAGAACCATACTTTCCTTGTGTTTCCGGTTCTTTACCGCCATCCACTCCCCAAGCCTCCCCCACCCCATCAGTTCTCACCCCACCACGATAGCCGTTTTATTGCTCCGTCTATTGGTAACCATTGACCTCGGTGCCATTTGATTCTGCTTCCAGGGAAGCATGCTCTCTGTTCTCTTCTGTCCTCTCTGGGAAGATTTTCTCAAGCTTTTCCATGACTACTGCTTTCTTGGCTTACCCCTTGGTCTCTGTTGCTCCTTTGAGCTTGGTTGCAACTTCCTCTTCTAGTTACATTTTGCTTGTGTGATCTTTCGTTCCCTCAGAGTTTCATTTATATTGTGGTTATTTCATCTCTTGAGTATCTGTATCCATCTATCTCAGTTCTCCCGCCTAAAAGAGAACTCCGTACCCACCTGCTCCCTTGATAACACTAGGAAGAAATTCTACAGACACCTGGGTCTCCAGTCTGACCTCATTATCCTTGCAAACAAGACTCCTTCTTATCTTAAATTTTCTCTCTTACTGAGTGGCAGGCATGTTATCGTCTCTAATATTCCACCCAGGAAACTTGAAGTCAATCACAACCCCCTTTTCACCTCTTCCCATCCAGTTAGCCACCTGTTTAGTTGATTCTAGCACCTAAGTATCTTTGGAATTCATTTAATTTTCTCCGCCTCAGGCCTCCCTGCTGCCTTGTTTCCTGGATCGGCACTAAAGTCCCATTACTACTTTCTCTGGCGAGTCTCTAATCCATCTTCCAGACTTGAACAGATTGATCTTTTTTTTTTCTAATTAATTTTTAGTTAGCATAGGAGGCAATGGAGTTCATTGTGGCATTTTCATACATGTGTTACGGCATTGTGCTTTTTTTCACAGTCTTAGACCAATAGTGAAACCAGTACTAAAGGGCAAACCTGGGTCTGTCTTTCTCCCACTTAGCTTAGCGACTCTCTGCTTCCCTCAAGACAAAGCTTTTCCATGATCTGACTGAGTCTCTCTAGTCCAGTGGTTCTCAACCTTCCTAACACTGAGAAACAGTTCCTCATGTTGTGGTGACTCTCGACCATGAAATTATTTTCATTGCTCTTTCATAACTGTAATCGTGCTACTGTTTTGATTGTAATGTAAATACCTGTGTTTTCCAATGGTCTGGGGTGACCCTGAGAGAGGGGTATTCAACCCCCCCCCCCAAGGATCACAACCCACAGGTTGAGAACCACTGCTCTAAACCCTCATGTGCTCTGCTGTTCCGTTGCTGTTCTAAGATACATCTTTATGCCCCTTCACCCCCACTGTTTGACTTTCCAGTTCCCTCTTCTTCCTCTCTCTTCTCACCGCTAGACTGGAGACCCTTCAGCATCTCTCTTCCTTGTCACTGTGCTAGAACATTCTATCATCAGTCATCTCTAACGGCTGACCATGGAAAGTCAGGATTCACTTTTATATCCCCAGCCCCTCAAATATGGTATTCTTAGGTTTGGATCATTAAAAGGAAGAAATACTTAATGTACTTATCTCAAGGCAAATAAATATATAAATTATAATGCATAAGAGATAGAAAATGAACAAAAACATAGTTGTGTTGATAGATCCACATTATCATAATCGGCATGCTCTAATGGAGGCATAATTCATAGCTACAATAGCAGCAAGAACAACAATGTAGCTAGCTTGTATTAAGTGCTTATCACGTGTGAGCATTCTTGTAAGTACTTTGTATTCATTAATCAGTCTGGTCCTCACAGCCTCTCAGAGAGGTAAGCCTAAGTCCTTGGTGCTGGGGACACACAGAAGAGAAGACTTCCTAATGTTGGGAGAGGATAAAAACCAAGGGAATGTCTTAGAGGATGTGGCTTCCCGGTGGCTGTCTTTCAAAGCCACGGTTGTGACTGAGTTTGGAGCCTCGGAGAAGAGATAGAAAAGAAACTCAGAGGAAAACCAGAGGAAGTTTCAGGAGGGAAACAAGATAAAGAGGTCCAGAAAGGGAGAGTGTCAAGCAGCCTAGAAATAGCGACAGAACCAGAGAGACATGACACATGACGGTGCTGCCGTCTCAGAGGCAACAGTCGAGGGAGACAGGGTTAGTCATGCCGGAGCAGCTCAGGGGAGGGAGGAAGATGGAGACTGTAAAGAATGACACTGGCTTCTCATGTGAAAAATTGAGAGGAAAAAATAGAGAGACAAGAAAATGGCAGAGAGGGCCAAGGAGAGATATTTCCCTTTTTCTAGATACGATTTACCAGAAAATGACTTTTTTTTTTTTCTGAAGGAAAGACCCAAATTGAGGAAGAATTGAAGAATAAAGGAGACCAGATGAGACAGGGGAGAGCAGCCAGTGAGGATGGGGTGGGTAGGCAGATGAGGCAGAAGGTGAGCCTGGGAAAGATGGTCGATCATCACCAGGGTGGGGGAGGAATGGCAGACCTGATGACAAGGGGCCCGACTGGATGTTGTCCTTCCTGGATAGATTCTGTAATTCCTGTAAAATAGGTGTCTGTCATGAAGATCCCAGAGCCCTTGCCAAATTCGTCTTTGATTAACGAAGCATCAAAGAAAAATAGAAGAGAGGCTTTCTTCAAATGCCATAGCTACTGGGAAAGCTAAATGCAAAGGGTCAAGCATACGCAGTTCCTTTGAATGACTATAGGAAGCTGGATAGAAACAATGACAGACTCGTTCTGTTGGCATGCTTCTGTGTCCAGACAAACAGATCACAAACCCCAGGAGAGTCTGAGTTCACTTTGTCTGACTCTTGTCTTCATAGAGCCTAATTCAACGTCAAGCCCACAGAAGGTGCTCAGCTGTGGATTGTCAGATGAATAAATACAGATTCAAACACTGAAACGCTTTGTTTGGCTTTCTTGACCAAGGTTAAAAGCATGACTGACTGTGTGGGCGTGGGACCTGTTCAATTCCACAGGGCCCCATGCTCAGAAGAACCCCTGTTTATTTAAATTTTCCTGTCTCTGAAATTCTCAATCATATGAACAAGGAGCCCCATCTTCTCACTGCATCTGGATGTATATATTTTATAGCTAGAGTCTGATAGAAATATCATACATATTAACAGAAGGTAACTAAGTAGATCTTTAACTATTTTTACACACACTTATTTTGGGGTGTGTGTGTGTGTGTGTGTGTGTGTGTGTGTGCGTGTATGCGTGCACACGCCATGGTGCCTGTGTAGAGAGAAGAGGACAATCTGGGAGATAGTTCTCTCCTCCTACCATGTTCATCTGGAGATGAACTTGGCTCTTCAGGCTTGGCAGCAAGTCCTTTTAGCCACTGAGCTATCTGGCCAGTTCACAGTGTGGATATTTCAAGTTATAAAGAATATAATATTACCCATGAAAACTTATATTTACAATTATAAGAAATACAAACTAGACCTGGTGGGCCAGACCAATAATCTCAGATACTTGGGAAGTTGAGACAGAAAAATCACAATTCACAGTCTTGCTATAGGCAAGTTCAAAGCTTGGGTCACCGACTTAGTGAGATCTCGTCTCAGAATAACAATGTAAATGAGCACTGGGATCTGGATCAGTGGTAGGGCTTTTTTCCTAGCATGCCTGTAGGTTCAAACCCTAGCACAAAGAATAATTTTTTTAAAAAGATGTATTTCAGACTTACCTGAGATGCTAGATCGTGGCTTTTCTTTCTTAAAATGTGGCTCATACTCTCTGTAGACAATTTTCTTGAAGGAAGGTTTAGAATTCAAACTAGAAATAAAATAGAAAAACTAATTTGAAATTCACATGTGATATCTATTCCTCTTCCAGAAAAGGAGGTGTCTATGCACTCAGATTTTGTATATAAAAATGGAATGACAACATTTTATTGTATTTCCAAAGTCCAAGGTTTTATAAAGTGAAATCAATGGAACAATCATTGGTCTCTTTAATGAGAGTTTTCCATAAATGTAAGCCAAATTTTGTTCCAATTCTGCTTTTCAGAATCAATTTTTCTATAAAGGAAGATAAGCACATAGTGCAAAGTCAAACTTCAGGTCTAAGTTAAAAATATAAGTCACTGATTAGTATATATTTGAACCATTTTTCAATCTTTTAATCAGATATAAGTTAAAATTTTTCCACTTTCATTATGCAAATTTGAATCAATGGGAAATGTGGTAAATTGGTGTCTATTCATTGGACCCTATTTTCTTTTCTTTTCTTTTCTTTTTTTGCATCCAGAATCTTTATTTAGTTATATTTTAAAAGGAGCAAAGTTACTGAACACAGCAAACAAAGCCTCATTTATGTTGCCTTGATTGAGGAATAAAAATTGGTACTTTTTTTCTCTTCCTATGTTTTTAATTTCATTTTACATTCCAACCACTTCTCTTGCCCCCCTCACCTCTCCTCCTTCCCCCATCCACTTTCCCCAATGAGTAAGGGCTCCCATGGTAATTCAACAAAGTCTGGTACATTAAGTTGGGGCAGGACCAAGCCCCCCTGAATTAAGGCTGAGCGTAGTGTCCCACCATAGGGAACGTGGAGCCTCTTTCTAGTGGAGTTGAGAGAATGGAGAGAGCAATAGGGCAAAACTCTGGGATCTGTATTGGAAGCAAACCAAAAACCTGCATTGAAAAGATGAAGTCAGCCGGGCAGTGGTGGCGCACGCCTTTAATCCCAGCACTCGGGAGGCAGAGGCAGGCGGATCTCTGTGAGTTCGAGACCAGCCTGGTCTACAAGAGCTAGTTCCAGGACAGGCTCCAAAACCACAGAGAAACCCTGTCTCGAAAACCCAAAAAAAAAAAAAAAAAAAGAAAAGAAAAGATGAAGTCACTTCCAAAGAAGATGTAGAGGATACAGAGCACAGCCAAGGTCCAGGAGGGTTAAACCATTTCCTCAGCTCTATCCAGACCCAGGAGGCTTCTGTCCCATTCTCCATTTCTAGGGTAGCCGAGGTTCTGCAGCCTGATAACTATGGTACCAGAGTTCCCAGGAGCGATGAAGATCCTAAGAGCTTCCTCTAGTAGTTTTCCCTACCAAAAGTGTGCCGACTCTGTGTGTGTGTGTGTGTGTGTGTGTGTGTGTGTGTTGTCAACTGGACACAAGCTAGTGTTATCAGAGAAGAAGGAGCCTCAGCTAAGGAAATGCCTCCTTGAGATCCAGCTGTAAGGCATTTTCTCAATTCCTGATTAATGTGGGGAGGGCAGCCCGTGGTGGATGGTGTCATCCCTGAGCTTGAGTTCTGGGTTCTATAAGAAAGCAGGCTGAGCAAGTTGGGGAAGCAAGGCGGCAAGCAGCAACCCTCCATAGCCTCTGCATCAGCTCCTGCCTCCAGGATCCTGCCCTGTTTGAGTTCCTGTCCTGACTTCCTTCAGTGTCAAATAGCAATGCTGAAGTGTAAGGCAAACAAACCCTCTCCTCCCCAACCTGCCTTTTGGTCAAGGTGTTTCATGGAAGCAAAGGAAACCCTAACTAAGACAAACAACTTACCCATTTTCCCTTTCCACTATCCATTTCTCCTTGCCAGGGAAAGACCTGCCTATGTAGCACACTGTTGTTAATGGGGTCCTCATGCTGTACATTTGATCTGAATTTGTTATCCTTAACTGTGTGTCCTCTGACTTACACCTACCTGTGCCCTACTCCAGGCTGAACAAACCAGCCACCAAGTCTGTGTTCTACCCAAAGCAGGAAATTAACACTGGAAGTAATGTTATTGGGGGGGGGGAGGGGTCAGTTAATGGCAGTTTCCTAAGAGTGTGTATGGCTTAGATTATGACTCTAAAAAAATGCAATACTTGAAATCATTTTAATGTGATATTTCTTATTAGCATAATATAAAGATAGACTGTAATGCCCTCCCAAATAGCCCAGTTACAACAAAAACAAAAATTAAATGCTTTATTATGCTTTCATCCTAAAATGTTACACATTGCTTTCAAAATATTACAGTATTTTTTGGCGGATTGCTTTGGTTTTGCAATTGTAAAAGAGGAACACATCTTTCACAATCACTTAAACTTTGATGTCAACTAAAAGGGAAAAAAAATGAGTCAACTAGAAGGCTAGGCTTGCCATTTAAAATAAAACCAGTAGTTGTAAATGCTGAGTAAAAATCTATGGTTTGGTTAACATCAGGAAGGCTTTCAATTAACCTTCCAATTGGCAAAGTGTGTTTAAACTTCCTCATAGTTACACACACCGTTGAGTGGCCACAGTAAACCTCGTCACTAACATGGGTAATATTCAGGGCAGACCAAAATATCCAGGATAAGCCAAATTCCAGGAAGTAATCCAAAGTGAAAGAAAAAAAAAATGAAGCCACTTAGGTAGCCAGAAATAAGTCAAGAAAAGATGAAAATACAAGTGTGTCCTTTTTCCATGAGCCAACGTTATGAAAGTCATTTATAGGAAGGCAACAAAATTAAGGCAAGAGTCACTAAATTATCTCCTTTAGAAGAGGAGTCTGTGTCTACAAGGAATAAATGTTATGTAACTCAAAGTTCGTTTGCTTTCTTTCTTTCTTTCTTCCTTTTTTTTGTGCAGACTGTTAGAAGGCTGGAAAGACGTAAGAGGGTGCTGGAGACGGGTCATTTCAACCCATCAGTTGAAGGATCTAACATTTTTTTGGGGGGGGAGTGATGAACAAACCGTTAACCATAGCTAACTATTCACACTGAAAACTTTCTTCATCCTCAGTATGATAAATTATATCAGTGGAGACAAAATTAGGACCCACCATTATTATACTTTACCTGTATTCTCTCTCTCTCTCTCTCTCTCTCTCTCTCCCCCGACCCCCCCCCCCCCCCCCGAAAACAAAACTTGTAATTACAGTGGATTTTCTTCCCTGGAGAGGAAGCCCACCTGGACTCCACCCCGAGTTACCTTGGGTCTGCAGTCTCAGGATGGTAGTTCCAGAGGATGCCCTGAGCAGCCACGTAGAACTGCCTCAGCCGCGCTGCCTCGGCAGGGTGGCTGCCCCAGCCCGCCCAGCTGGTGCCCAGGACCACCAGGACGCAGAGGCGCGGGCCGACTAGGAGCATGGCCCTTGTTCCGCCGCGCACTGCCACTGCCAGCAGTGCTCAGTTCTCTGTCCGCGCTGTGCGCTGTAGCTGTCGTAGCTCCCAGGAGGATTAGGAGCCTGAGGACGCAGTGTCCCTGTCCCCTGCGGTGGCTGGCTCACCCTACCTCCCTTTCCCGGCTGTGCCTCATATAAGCATGGGCTTGTTGAGGTCACTGCCCCCTGTGGCCAGAGGCATTTATTAGGGAACCTAACTAGGGACTGTGTACTACAAGGAAAGAAAGGGCAACCCTGCTGGAGGTTGTGGCACAGGAACTGTGCCCAAGGGTTCCTGCCCCCATCACAATCCCATCCATCTACCCTTCACCTGCGGGGGAGGGTGGCCGGACGGGGAGGAAGGGTCAAAGTTTAAGCTTGCCTGCCGGTTTCTGCAAGCCTCACTTAGATCCAACACCCATCCTCTGATCCCAGGAAAACAACACTGTGCGGTTACTAGGCACAGAAAACGGCCAGAGAACAAGTCCACCAACAGGTTAGCGTCCTAGACTGCATTGGTAACTTCTCCCAAGGCACAGACCACCTGGTAAGGCTTGTCACCAGCTCAAGTGTAGCAGAGAACAGGACTTAATTGAGATAGTCGGTGGCTGTGTGGTCTTGGGCCAATCACCTTATATCTCTGGAGGACTTTTGACATCTGCCAAATAAGGATGGCAATTCTAATTTTCCTTGATCCAATTATTTTGAGGGGAAAAATGTTGTAAACGCTATGCCTCCTCCTCCAGTGCCAAGGCAGCTGCAGGCTGTGCTCTTGTCTATGCTAATGTTCTCCTGCTCTGTGGTGCCACGTTTTGAAGTGTGTTAGCATGTTGTTTTAGATTTTGTTTTTCTGTTGGTGGGGAAGCTGAGAACTGTGTCTGAATCACCAAAAGGACTTGTCCCTGTTTCCCTAGAACTCTGCTTTAGGCTTCCAGCACAGCCAGTAAACTGTAGTCAGGCACCACCCAGGATCCTCAGCGGTTTCCCCACCCCCACTCCTGCTTTTGTTCTCTTGCTCATATTCTTCAGTCAGTTTACAAGGCCCTTCTCAAGGAAGACGTGAAGCCCAACACATGGGGGCTGAAGGAGGAGAAAGCGGGTTTGTGGCTTGACATCAGCCTATGTTACACAGTGAGACCCTTTACCAAAAATTAATTAATAACAGACACGTATATCTAACTATATTGTAAAAACCCATTGTTTTTCCTCTCTGCTCTCCCGTTCTTTAAAATCAGGAGTTCTGCCTTTATCTCTGATTCTGGGTTCAAACTGATTTCTCTGTTTTATAAACTCAGTCTATTCAGATTATATTCTTTTTTTTTTAAATTTATTTATTTATTAAGGATTTCTGCCTTGTCCCCACAACCGCTTCCCATTTCCCTCCCCCTCCCCCGATCAAGTCCCCCTCCCTCATCTGCTCGAAGAGCAATCAGGGTTCCCTGACCTGTGGGAAGCCCAAGGACTGCCCACCTCTATCCAGGTCTCGTAAGGTGAGCATCCAAACTGCCTAGGCTCCCACAAAGCCAGTACGTGCAGTAGGATCAAAAACCCACTGCAATTGTTCTTGAATTCTCAGTATTCCTCATTGTCCGCTATGTTCAGCTAGTCCGGATTTATCCCATGCTTTTTCAGACCTAGGCCAGCTGGCCTTGGTGAGATCCCAATAGAACATCCCCATTGTCTTAGTGTGTGGGTGCACCCCTCGTGGTCCTGAGTTCCTTGCTCGTGCTCCGTCTCCTTCTGCTCCTGATTTGGACCTTGAGATTTCTGTCCGGTGCTCCCATGTGGGTCTCTGTCTCTGTCTCCTTTCATCGCCTGATGAAGGTTAATATTCATGAGGATGCCTATGTGTTTGTCTTTGGATTCACCTTCTTATTTAGATTCTCTAGGAACGTGAATTATAAGCTCAATGTCCTTTATTTATGGCTAGAAACCAAATATGAGTGAGTACATCCCATGTTCCTCTTTTTGGGTCTGGCTTACCTCACTCAGGATAGTGTTTTCTATTTCCATCCATTTGTATGCAAAATTCAAGAAGTCCTTGTTTTTTTACTGCTGAGTAATACTCTAATATGTATATATTCCATACTTTCTTCATCCATTCTTCCGTTGAAGGGCATCAACCTAGATGCCCTTCAACGGAAGAACAGATTATATTCTTTTTGATTATCCTCTATTAGTGTTTCAGGATTCTCTTGCTTCCACATATACATTATAATCTATTCAAAAGCAGGAACAATAACTTACACTCCTGACCCACAATTCCAGGGCTTCCCAATGTTGTCAGAATCCTCTGTTTTTGTTGTTTTTTTTTTTTAACAAAATGCAAATTCTGACACTGGAGACAGGTTGAGAGATTGAGATCTTGGATCCTATAACACCTAGCAAGTCCCTAAATTACTTTCATTTTTTTTTCAAAGTCACTGTGACTTTTCATAGGGCAGCTTTACTGTTTTTGCTTGCCTATCTGCTTATATGAATCCAGTCTACATGGTGGTCACTGGATTTCCTTACACCACAGCAAAGCAACTGCACTGTTCGACTCCCTCATGTTCACATCAATTAGAGACAAACCATATATAATTTTCAGTGACTTATTTATTAAATATGTGAATTAAATTACATACAAAACATCTGTTCTTTCCTGCAGAACAGTAATACAATGAAGACCCTCTCTGACTTTTTCTCTGTGGAAAGGGGACAGATGACATATATTTGCTGGCTCACTGGAGGGCTTAGCTGTCATTTGGATGACTGTAACTGTCACCATATTGGTGGTAGACAATGTGAGATACATGGACCCTTATTGAACAAAACAAGAGGAGCCTGGCGTTTGGGGGAGTCTGGTTACATATTCAAACAATGGCCTGTGGGTGCTTTGGTGGAGTGAAGGTCTGAATTCCGATGTGGAATCCTGGCTCTGTTCTTGGTCTTCTGTGGCCTCTGGTACCATGTGGAAGTTTCTGGAAAGTGTCAGCAGCAGAGGTAAACAACCTCACAGGTAGGAAGCACAGAAGACCCAGGAGACCTTAGAGCAGGCTCTGCCTTCAGCTAGAGAATTTCCTGCTCTCCAGCATCTCGGAGTCCCAAGAGAAAGCAGATCCTCAGTTCTCCAGTCTGGTCTCCTGGTGAGTCAGATGCCCCAGTGCCTTGGACTAGCTCCCATCTTCAGTAAGAGCAAGGTCAAAGTCACAGACCACAGCAGAAGCGTTTGCTCCTGTTTCTGTGGCTGCTCTAGAGGAAGGTGAGAGGCGGAGCAGGAAGGGGTGGGTGGAGAGGTGGGAATGTGTATAGTTCTTTTGCTTGGTTCCCGGCTGGTTATTTACAGAAAACCACAGCCAATGCAGTGGAGTTAAAGTCAGGGAGCTTGGCATCTGCAGGCAGAATCCTGAGAGACAGTAGGAGGAAGTGGGGGACCAGATCTCTGAAAACATAAGAAAACAAATTAAACTATGCTTAAGAGAAAAAAAAATCTTTCCTCATGACTAACCCCTGATGTTTAAGACAGTTCCTCTTTCTAGGTCCTACCCTGTCTACCAGGAGGATGATTTTCTTGGGAAAGGGGACTTTTCATTGCACTATTTGAAAAATTGCTTTCATCTGACTTCAGTTTTCCCATCAGTTAGCATAGGGGCTTTTATGGCAAGCCTACAGCCTGCCAATCTCGCGCATCCCGGAACAGTGCATGTGCTGCTACAGCCTTTCATCTCAGAAGGGATAGAAATCCTTGGGTTGGCTCTATGGTCCCTACACTGTCACATGCACTTGCTGCAATGTGGTCTCTGTCATGGCGTGACATTTTAATACATGCTTGAAAGTTAATATACGATGATGTAAAGAGAATTCAAGCTTTATCTTCTCGTTCTCTTACTGTTTTATTTTCTTCAAAAATGTCCTCACAGGAAGCTCACCTCAAGGAGTTGGGTCAAACGCAGCATTAGTGAAGACTCCATATGTTCCTAGGTGGCTAAAGAATAGAAACACAAAGAGGGTCTACCATGAAGTTACTCCTCCAAACAGCCAGCTCATAGTACCTCTAGAAACAACGGATTGCCACCTACCCTGGCATCCTGTCTGTTTTAATCAGGAAAGTAAACAGAGAAGCAGCTTCATGATCCCACTCAGAGCTCTGGCTAATTTGACTTGCGCTTTCCACTCGCGCTTTTTCATGGTCCTGGGAATGGAGCCCAGGGCCTCAGGCACACTACACAAATGCTCTACCAGCAAGCCACATCTCCAGCCCTACCTACACTATTGTTGCTAGTGGTTTCTGGGCAGAAAAGGATTTACCCTCTAAGGGGTTGCAGCCTCTTCTTGAGAAGAAGAAATAGTTTCAAAGTGCTCAATCTTAATAAAGGGTGCTTGAGCAAGGGTTTCTGCAGAATGATAGTACTGCCCCCTAGGGGTGGTTTTTAGATTTTCGCGGTGATGAAGAGGACAGGCATGTGGTGGGCAGAGGTCAAAGATGCTGCATGTCCATAATCACAGGATACAGAAGAATTGTCCCAGATCCCGTGTGGCTTTGGAATACCACTATTCAGGATTAAAGATAGCCTAGAGCTTAATTGCTTCACATGAAAATACTGTGTTTTTTCATCTTTTACTATCTGTGAATTGCACTAAGACAGTATTTTCCCAAAAGACAGCCCACTGTCTCTTCCGGAGCCATTGCTCATGGAAAGCCTACTGAAATTTATAAACTTTCAGTGTTCTGCCAGCGTTTGCTAGTGTAACACCCAAGCTTTAGCATTCAGTTTCTATCATAAGTCACTTCCCGGTTTATTTCTTCTTTTATACTATAATGAGGATAACTACTGTCGTTAGCCAGTGGGGTAAAGAAATGTGCACACACAGCAAGTCCTCAGAGAGAAAGACTCTCCACAAAGCAGAGGGAAGACTCCAGAACCCGAAAATCCCTAAGTTTAAGTTTGATACTTCAAACACTATGGTTAGCTGGCATATATTGGTTAACTGGCATATATTGCCCACACACTTTTTCTCAGGCCAGGAAAGACATGGCAGAAGAATATTCCAGAGAGGAGGAAGCCTTGCAGACATTTCCCCTGACACAGCACGTTAGAGAGA